TTCGTTGCGAGCATCTTCTGAGTGAATGACAGCAAGACACATGACAGCAAAGGCATTCCTCCTGCTGGGTTTTATTGTGGAGCAGGCCAAAAAGCAAGGGTTTGTGAACTGTAACTGTGAATGGAGGTTGCAAAAACAGATCGTTTAGGAAAAAGCAGGTTTTTCTGTAAATTAATGTGTCTTTATTCTAATGGCTATACAGTTCAATGCCTGATTGAGTTGTTTTAAATAAATAAATAAATAAAATACAAAAAAAAAAAAAAAAAAAAAAAAAGCCGTAATTGTGATCAAGGATTCATTCTTGAATGGCCATAGTAAAGCATTATTTATTTTTCAAAGGCTGATGGTCACTAAGGGCCAGGGCACAGTCTCAGGTGAACGGCAGAGCCGCACACGGGGTGAGGTGCATTGCGAGTGCAGCTGGTGGTGTCCAGCCTTGCTCCCACGGGAGCTCCTGAGGCACCAGCAGGACCAGGAGCTGGATGGGGCCCAGCCCCACAGCCTGCCCAGCACGTGGTGCCCGTAACCAGGGGCTCCTGCTGCTGGATCCCTGCATCCTCCTCCCGAGCATCCTCGGTGGGGAACCACGCGACGACTCATTCGGGAGCAATCAGCAATGTGATTCTTTGGTGTGAATGTGCCTGCAACATTGACCCATGTGCCAAAACACAATATTGAATGCATTGTTTTTAAATAAAATGTTTTCTTGTGCATTGAAAGTCTGTAAAACTCAGTTGTGTCTGCTTCTTCCTTATTATCATTTCCTTCCCTGCTCTCTGTCAGTAACAACAGCAGACAACCCCTGCCCTCCCACTCCCCATTAGCAGCTCACCAAAAGTTCTACTGGTGCTTTTTAGCCCCCTTACCAGCTGACTTTCCCTCGTGCCTCAAGCTTTCTCACCATGCCCCTACTTCTTTTTGTGTGTGCAGCAGGCAGGGATCAAGAGGGGTAAACAGGGCACTCCAAGCCCTGGGATCTGCACATCAGTGTGTCAGCTTTTCTGTGCATCTGGCTTTAAACAAAAAGGTTTTACAGGAAAACTTCATCAGGAGAGTTGCCAAAGGTCCTGCTTATTGCTGCCTATATTTCATTAAGCAGTGCAACAAGCTTAGTGTGATGGATCAAATTCTGCACTCTCAGGAAATATGTGGTGTTACAGAGCATGTAAATCAGTGGACAGTTTGGCTCAGGGTATTTGTTCATCAGAGTGAATTACACTCCCAAGACCATCTTATCACCCACCTCCACTACCCACAGAACACTAGTAAGAAGAACAGATCATCCTGCTTCAGCCTGGGAGTTTTACCTTCTATTGCAGGGACTCTGCAGCCCAGCAGCCCTTGACTCTGAGGGCAGCACATCTGTCCTGCTGCCTTCTCTCAGCCCTGCAGCAGGGGATGTCCATGGAAGGGGCTGGCCAGCGTGTGCCGTGCTGGAGAGCAGCCAGCAGCCCCAGTGATGGGGCTTGCAGGCTCCCCCTCTAATCACTGCTGAAACCTAAAACATTGCCAAATCCATCTACATGGTCAGCCTTTGCTGTCTAGCAAGAGTCACTGTGGGATGCTTTGGGGATACCAAACCCCAAAGTTACAGAGAAGTGGTCACTTAGGTGCTAAACAGACTATTGAAAAAATCTAAGTAGTTTTTGGCAACTCTTTTTAAAATCATATAGACAGAGACAATAAATCAGTTGTCACATCA